GCACCCCCCTTTCGACCCCTGTAGGCTCCTGGTTTGCAGCCCCAGCTGCACGTGGTTCCTCTCATCTGATACCTTTTCTCTTTTTGGCCTGTTCCTCCCGTTCAGAGCTATCTGTCAACTTGGTGAACATGAAGGTTTTCAGTTTGGACTCCGGGTTGCGGTCAAGTTTCCGCTGCTGTAGCTCAATATTGTACTGGATAATTTCTTGGTTGCGCCTTTTATTCATCTCTGCAATCCTTGTCAGATTCTCCGACCTGCACGCAGAGAGCAGCGAGTTACACCATGTGTGGGTAGAAGGATTTGTATTCCTGGCCATTCCTGTGCATCTCCATGCTGGACCTACGAAAGCCCCCATGATGCTGTGCACGTCGCCCAGGTCTCACCCCCATGGGTGCTAGCCCAAGGCCAGCAGCAAGCCAGCACAGCGCTTGGTGGGGATTTGGTTTTGGACATAGTACCCCGGCCCGTGCGGGACAGAAGGGACTGCTCCACGAGGCAACCTTCTCCATCCTGAGAAACCTCTGGGATAGGTGGAGTAAATGACCCTGGAGGTACTAGTCTCCCCGCCCTGGCCAGGCACCTGACCCTTGGCACCCCGCTCTGGACAAGAGCAGTGAACCCTCTCTCTGGAGTTGCGGTTGGTCCCTCTTTACATCAGTACTCGTCACCACCCGTCAATGCTAAGTGTGTGGCAAGGCCCCGTGCCGCTGATTGTGGGCTTCTGCAGTTCAAGTGTGTCGCAAGGCCCCGTACCGCTGATTGCAGGCTTCTGCAGTTCGCTCAATGGCAGCGTTCATCCTTCTCCTCTGTTGATTCAGCTTCTCATGGAGCTTCAAGCAGAAGTTGTCCAAAACAGCCTTCCGAATTCGCAGGCTTTTGACCTCCTCTTGGAGCTCTCTATTCTGGGTCATGATGGTATCGTAACGGACGGTGACCTGGGGAGAGGGAAGCAAAAGGTCTGAAGCTGGTGCAGGACTGGGGGACTCAAGTCCTTACTGAAAGCACTTGACTAGGACTGAGAAAAACACCGGCCCAAGAGATTTTAGGTTGGTCCTGCATTACCCTCCTCCCCAAGACTGGAGAGGCAACAGCTGGCCAGACCGATCACAGCAGAGACCTGGAGCAGGTGTTGTCCAAGGCAAGGTGGCTTCAGGCAGCTTGGTTTTATCACTAAACAGATGCAGACCTTCAGGCTTCTTGGCACGACACAAGTGCCTGTATTTGGGTCCCCAAGCTTGCAGGAGCCTTTCAGATATTCTGGAAGTAATCAGGCCAAGGGAACAAGCCAGATCCTTTACGCGGCTTTGGTCAAGCAACTGCATTTGCACCATCACCCTTTGTCCTGAACTAAAATGGCAAAAGCACAGAGCCCTGAGCCCCCAGCATGGCCCTGCACCTCCAATGGTCTGCAGAATGTTCACTTACATGGTTTAGACGTTTCTCCAGTGTCTCAATCTGCTTTTGCAGCCGTTGGCTGTTCTTCGCTTGCCTTGCCTTCACTGCAATCGGGTTTTGATTCGCAATCTTTTTTTCTAGCTCTAATATCTGCGCACACAGAGAAAAAAATTAAAAACTAAGTATAATCTCCACCCCTACTTTCTGGACTCTCACTAGGACACTTAGACAAAAAAAAACACCCTGTGCTGACCTGAACTACAGCAACCGTGGTCATTAATGAGCTCACAGTTATAGAGGCAGCTTTGATCCCAAAGGATCCCATTCTGCACACGCAGAAACATAAGCTGTAACTAGGAATGGGTTTATTTTCCTGTCGTGAAGAAAATGCAGCTGCCTCTGGAGGGGAATTCAGCAGGTGTTGAACACGGCAGCAGCTCTCCAAGTAGAGTGGAGGAGGCAATGAGGAAAGGTTTTTGGTAGTGGTATGACAGCAGGTCAGACAGGGATCTGTGCAGTCCTCCCTGGGAGTGAGTGGAGGAAAACTTTTGCCAGATGTGGGAAGCTGCCAGAATAAATAAATCCACAAGAAGAACGAAGTAGTTGGAGAACAACAAAGAGGGGGGCAGGTGGGAGAGGTATGACTCAGTCAAGAGATGCCTGACTGAAAGCTAACCCTGCTGTGGAAAGCTCTGCAGCACCTCTAGCAACCATAAACTACCCAACTATGTGCTCTGACTTCTGCCATGGGCTGCTTGTCTGGAGCAGAAAGCTGCAGGGACCTGTCATTTCTGTAGCACTGGCTTTTCCTTGGCCTCCCCCCCCGCCATTGACTAAATCCAAGCAGGCTGTCCTCAGGAGAATTGATGGGACATCTCACAGATGCTGCCCTTCTTATTTGCCAGGCAGGCAGGACAATGAAATGTTCCCGTTTTGCCTCTATTTCAGGAGGAAAAAAAAGAAAATCCAAGGGAAAAGCAGAGGGATGTTGCTTGATCCTGGGCAGGTGTGCCATCGACGAGGCGATGCAGAGCCCCGTGGGACCACGAGGTTGAGAGTCGGGCCTTACTTTTCCAGCCAGTGCTGCTGTCTTGAATGGGAGGCTGGATCTACCCATTTATCGTTATATTCCAAGGCTTGAATCAAATGTACTTTGCATGGAGGAGTATCAGCTATGGGGCTCACTCTGTGACCCCGCTTTGCTCTACCATGCTCAGCGGAGGAACGGTCCAGATGCTCTTACCTGGTTGTCCAGGTCAGCTAACAGGGCTCTTCTCTCTCTAATCAGAGAATCATACTGGCATTTGGTCTGCAAAAGGCACTGGATCTCCTTGCGATTTCTGTCATCCAGCATCACATTTCTCTGGGAGGTGATCTGCTTCAGTGTTAATAACACCTCTTTGTGTTCTTCAGTCAGCGACTCTACTTCTTTCCTGTAAAAACGCAGTGACAAATGACAATTAGCACACCCCACCTGCAATACCGGAGCAGGTCCTTACCCCTCCGATCTCAGCACCGGACCCCAGATCTCCGTGTGGAGGGGACTTTCCAAGCACAACGCAGCCAAGCGAAGCTGCACTCACTCCTGAGCCTGCATTTGGCGCTTCACGTTTTCACCATAAGATTGCCTCTTCTTCGCTGCTATCTGAAGCTGTTTCTGCAGTCTCTGGATCTCAGCTTCAGCCAGATGTTCTTTCTCCATTCCAGGGGAGTCCAAAGACTTCCGCCTCGATAAAAGCCTTCTCTTCTGCCACAGAGAGGGAGAGTTTGGTGACAGGAGCAAAGGCGAGCAGCAGTAGTGGATGGTGGGGCTGGATGTGGGGGTTCGTGACACCGTCACCTCCAGCAATTT